ATATATATATATATATAGATAGATAGATGGATAGATGGGTAGATGGGTAGATGGGTAGGGCTGCAACATTTTTTAAATGTTAATCGGAATCTCGATTTTGAATTCCCGCAATTAAATGAACACGATTTGTCCCTCACAATTTCAACGTTTCCCAGCTCACAACTAATGTATATGTTATGTATGATGCATTATGTTAACACAGTATGGGATGTGATGGGATTGTGTACATGTGTTCTTTTCGCACCGCTTTTACCATGGCCCGAAGCCTCACTTTATGCTATTTAATGTTTTTCCTCCAGGCTAACTGCAGCACCAACAGCACCCCCAACAGCCCCGACAGCACCAACACCCCCAACAGCCCCGACAGCACCAGCGGTGGCAGCAGTCCCTCAACACGCTCCCGCAAACCTGGTGCCATCATTGAGAGCTTCGTCAACCACGCTCCCGGAGTCTTCTCAGGGACCTTTTCAGGTGAGAGGACACTAAGCTTCCTTTTAGATGCTTTGCTGCTCTAAGCAGTGAGATCCAGCCAGAAGCCTCTTTTATGAGAACTTGCCTCACAAAATAAATACTTTCTCATTCAACACATTCTCCTTTGTCTGGTCTCAGGGTTTGTTGTGGGCATGTGTATAGGAATGACCTTGAATGCTTTCACTTTTCTGTTTTTTTATTGTTGTTAACTCGTAGACATCTCGCGTAACGCTTTCTCCATCTTTCTTGCTCCCTCTCTTTAGGCACTTTGCACCCTAACTGCCAGGACAGCACTGGGCGTCCCAGACGCGACATCGGTACCATCCTGCAGATCCTCAACGACCTCCTGAGCGCCACGCGCCACTACCAGGGCATGCCCCCCTCCCTCACCCAGCTCCGCTACCAGACCCAGTGTGGTTCGCCCACCTCCCCATCCCCCTCGCCGCCTCCCTCGCCCCAAGTCGCCGGCATGACGGGCCTCTCTCCCAAAGCTACCTCTGTGCCCGCCAGCAGCCCTAGCAGCCCTCCGCCGACTCTCCATCCGCTGGTCCAGTGCCAGAGTCAGATCCGCATGTGCAAACCCCCCGGTGAGTGACTCCACACCGCACTCCCTCTGCTCATGCGAAGCATGTGAGGAACACAAACAGAAACACACACTCATGCTCACACACAGCAAGTCATTGTGCATCCCTCGAGGCAGATGTTTCCGCAGTCGCTACAGCTTTGCAGGAGTGTGTGTGTGTGTGTGTGTGTGTGTGAAATGACTGCAATCTAGAACCTGTCATTTTACTGAGATCTGTTCTTGCATTGTAACTTACCAAAGAATTAATTGTCGTCTTTGTGTCTACTGTCTCTATTCTCATTGCACGTCGCGTGTAGCTATCGGTTCTGTTGGGATTATTTTTGCACCATTGCCTTGTTCAAGCAGCTATTTTTATCCTTAAAATACTGTCAAAGCAGGAAGATAAAAGTCAGATTAAAAGAACAAAAACAGTCATACGTATATCTCTCCTGGGTTTTTGAGGCAGAGGAGAAGAGGAAGAGATCGGGAGGGGAGTCTAACGTCTAATGCAATACAAATTTCTCCAAACCTGTTCAGTCAGGCTTCACTTGTCAGGCGGCGGAGATGGCTTTGTTTGTGTGCCAAGGAGATAGGTTTACCCCCTTCAAGCCTGTGCTGAGCTATGTTTAGATTAGATTAGGCTTTGGGTGATTTAACCTGCCTCTTAAAGAAGGGCTGCAGCTGGGGCAAGTACGGGCCGGACAAAAAAACCTCGACGCACCCCTGATGCCCAGAGGGCAGGTGCTCGAGTTCAGATGATACTGTTTTAGAGTCTGGAGTTTTGGGTGTTTAAAAAAAAAAAAAAAAAAAGCTCCTTTCCTCACAGAGACACAGGATGTCGAGTGTCAGACAGATGTCCAGAAGCGATAACATTCAGTCAGTGTTGTAAGGATAGCCTGGCTGTGCTCGGAGAAACAGCATTGTCCTTATCTCCCGTCGAGGAAATCGAGCTCGCCTTCGGTGAGCGGCTGGTAAATGTTTGTTGAATAGATCGGTAGGGAGGGTCCGCCAATTTATGTCTGGAAAGAGCGAGAGCATACGTTGCTATTGTCCTACCCTGGCTTCGTCCTTTGTTTTATGACCTTCAGTGTTTAGTTTCAGCGACTGCGTACGGATTGACCGGGGGAATGTCCAGTATTCCTTTGCGTCACCCTTACAAGTGTCTGGTGAACAGTTGGAATAACACAGGCTTATTTTCTTAACTCAGGGAAGCCCGAAGACCCCCCCTCACCCCCCCACTCCTGTCATCTATCTCTTCGTCTACACTCGCCGCTGTTTCCCCCATTTGCTGTCCATAAACAGCCCCGTCTGTAAAATCCATCTCCCCCGTCTTCCTCCCTCTCTTTTCCACGTCAGTGTTGCGCATCAATACATCGTCTGTGTTCATTTGGCCTTTTAATAGATTTATTCCGAAATGCAGCTCTGAAAAAGAATTTGCTTTGTGAAGTAGAGGGCAGTGAGAGGAGGAGGAGGAAGAGGGGGGATGGTAAAACCACAACACTAAGCCTCCATTTATCACATGGGTGTTTATATCCTGTCCATCAGTCTACCGACTGCCCACTGATTAACCAACGGCCAAGTAAAAAATGAAAAGAATGGGTGACAGAGTAGCCCGTCTAATGTCCTTTTCCCGACTTCGCTGCCTCTGTCCAACTTCCTGCTCGCAGTGTACGTCCCCAACCAAGCAGTTTGGCTCGCGGAGACAACGAGTGGACAGACGCCGCGTGTCGACTTTGTATCCCGTTCCACACGGTGTCCCGAGGAAGCCGTTGACTAAGCGCTCTCAGGTGGCCTTATCAGCCCGACACCTGATGGAAGACTTACTGGACTTAACACCGCGGCTTAACTCTGCTTCACAGAAACCTGCCTTCATTCAGCTACAGGAACAACCCGCACTCCTCATCTGCCTGAAAGTGTGTGTGTTTGTGTGTGTGTGCAGTGAAACTCTTGAAAATGTCACATAGCTGGGCCGTCTCCTGAGAGCCTTTACCCTTTTCCGCCGCAAGTTCATATGCCACGGGGAGAAGGCAAGCGTAAATAAGGAGTTTGAACATACTCGCATGCACACTCACACACACACTCGGCCGCAAAAACGCCTGGTTTAAGTCTTCGACTAGCCGGGTTTCATGGCTTGTGTGGAGTGTGGGGATTTGTCCGCCCATGTCTCGTTCAGGGTTTGAACAGGAGGGGGTTTAGCGTGGCCCAGCAGGCTGATTGTTAGCTAAATTCCTTCACTGAGTCGGGGTGGACCTCCCCGGCACCCCCTCCCCTCCTCTCCAGCCCCTTCAGCCCCCTGCCCAGCCAAACCCATTGTGCAGGGGCCAGAGACAGGGGCTGCATACAGGGCACCAGGCTGAGCCATTGTGGGGCAGAGGAGGGGAGGGCTATGGGATTATAGGGCTGCCTTTTAGTCCCACTCCCACCGCAGCTGCCTTAGTTCAACACAGGCCCACAGAGAGGGGGCAAAGCAGCGGCAAAGTTAGCTCTGGAAGCTTCCCCAAGCAACCCCCTTCCTCCCTTGTGTCCCTTCCACGTCCCTTCACCCCATTCCCGTCCCCTTTCGGTTTGTCAGATCATGTTAGCTTCGTGCTGGCTGGGAGGAGGGAGGGTGACGGGAGGATGAGAGAGAGCGAGAGAGAGACACAGGGGGGGGGGGGCAGCTCCTACGGCCTTAACCTCACAGAGTCCCATGTTTAAGCCTCGACCCGCTTGGTCGAGGCGCCGCGCATTATCCACTGGTAGGCTTTACTCTGCTGTCGTCACACAGGGGGAGGGTTCGTCGCCACACACGTGCACCGGGAAACTGAGCGAACGCCCCGGCGACGCGGCACAGAGCTATCTAGCGAAGCCAGCCAAGCACATCAGGTGCCCTTTCATTGTCGACAAGGAGAGAGAGAGAGGGAGAGAATGCAAATGAAGTCTAAAAGTCATTGAAGAGCTTGTGTCCCTGCAGGGCCGTCAATGCCCTTTCACTGACTGTCAGAGTGCTCATATTAGCTCTGATTTGATTGGCTGTTTCAGTTTGTCTGATTAGTTAGTTTACATTTTTTCTTCTTCTGGTGTTTAGCTTGATTGGCGTTTATTTTATTTTTTCTCTCTCCAAGAAGGTCAGGTTTCCTAGTTTACCTGTTGACATTGAGCTACTGTTCTGTTATGAACACAACATTGAGATTTTGAATACCGATATCGAGATAACACTGCGTTTATTATGGTGCTGTGAATTTTGACCCCTCTATCGTTAACCCGTGGAACGGGTCGAGAGAGTAATACTGGAGGAGATTAAGGGCGACTTTGCTGCAATGTGATTTTCTATCACTCTCTCTTCCTCTCTGTCCACCCCTCCCCTCGTTCCTCTGGTTCCCTTGATGCTGAGCAAACACAATGTTCTCTCTGCAAGATCACAAGACTTATCAAGGCAAACAAACAAACAACAGCACTAAGACGACTGCAAATGAAGGCCAATCTTTGTACAATCAATAAAAGGAGAAGCTCCTTTAATCTCCTCGTGCGTCCCGCACACTGCAGCCCTCCTCCCCCCTTTTTTTTTTCTTCTCTACCTCCATCCTCCTCCTCCCCCCCACCCTCCCGTGTGCTCCCCTATCTCAGTCCTTGCTGTGTTGCTGGGCTGGGCTCAAAGGCAAGGAAAACTGACTGACGCATCGATTATTCATAGATCGCCCCTTCTTTCTTTCTGTCTCTCTCTCTCGCTCTGTTTTTCTCTGCAGCGCTCTGTGTATTTACAGGTTCAGTGTCAAAGTCTTCACAGAGGAGAGTTTGGGGGATGGAAAAGTGTGCTGCCAGGGATTGAGTTTTAGTGTGATTGGTGGGGGGGGGAAAAAAGATAGGAGGTATAGGAGACTGGCGTGTCCTTGACCAAGTCTTCTGTTTGATAACTTCCACTGCGCGTTTCCATTCATTCCCTGTCTCTCACTCAGGGTCCTTCAAGGTTATTGTGCTCACATCAAACCTTAGTCTCTGCATCCAGGCTTTGGGCCAGCCTGTGTGTATCTTAATGTGTGTGTTTTGTGTGTGTGTATAGTCTGTCCTTCTTAGCCAGCCCTAATAATAGCCCTTCTGTCATAAACATAGTCTGGAGATCCTTGCGGCCAGCTGTGTCCGGCCCAGCCGCCCAGGGCTCCGGTAGTGACGCTGATGAATGGACACACACACACACACACACACACCAGGTTTGGTGTAGCTCCACATTGTCGTAGATCTTGCCAAGACAAAGGCCAAGACCTGCAGCCCCACCAAACGGCCCGTGTGTGTGAGCGCCTGCTCTTAAATACTGTTGGTGTCCAAGTAGATTTAACTGTGAGGAAATGGAGTATTGAATGGTGCTACCCGGGTTAAATAAAGAGACAAACTTCACCAGACAAACAGATCGTGCATGTGTTGGCTTCGTGCCGTTTCATTGTGTACAGCCATACTTCGATGCAGCCGATGGGTGTTTTATTATAATTCTCTTTAGCTTGTAGCTAGCAAGACCTGGGGAATAAGGGGAAGAGGGAACAAAGCCTTGCGGCAGCGTATGTGGGTGTCACATGGAGCTGAGGCAGCGGAACAATGGCTCTAATGTAGGAGAACCCCCCCCCCCCCCTTTTTTGGTATACCCCCTGTTCTCTGGAGATGACACGCTGCCCTCACACAACATCTGAATGCACACACATACGTTTGTACCGCGGGCAGAACACATTGGCAGGAAGTGGAAAAAAAAATCTTCAGAATTCATTCTGTCTGTTGGCTCGGTGTCACTATTCGCTTCCTTTCTGCTCTCAAAACGCAGCATCAAGGCTGCTGGATGGCAGTTTACTTCTTTAGTATGCACTGCCAGGCAGCGGTGCATATTTATAGCTGGAGAAAAGGGTCTGCGCTGCTCGACCCGATAAGCAAATGAAGGAAAGAGGGAAATGAAGCCCACACAGAGTCCGGAATTCATTCCGATGGAGCAGAGGAGGGCACGATCGATTCGGAAAACTGCCACCTACGGCTGATCCTTTACCCTCCACCCTCTTCCTCCGTCCTTTCTTCTATCCCCCCTCGCCCCTAGGGGAGGAATTCCTTAGCCCATAACGCCCCCCCCCCCCTTTACTCTCCCTTCTCGCCTCCTGCTTCTTCACACTGCCCCACCTAGCTGTCTCTGGGGAGACATGGGGCAAGAGCTGGGGGAGGAAGGAGCTGTGGGGTGAAAGGGGGGAGGAATTAGAGAGGGAGAGAAGAGGAGTTGGGGTAAGGGGGGGGGGAGGTTGTTGGGTCAATGAGCTGAGAGTGGGGAGCTACAGCCATAATAAAGAAAAAAAATAGCAGAAGAAAACCCAATCTCTCTCTCCCTCTCTCTCTCTGCTTACAATTTCCATTCGCTTGCATTTTCTATTGAAAGCCAATAGCGTTGTCCTGGGCCCTGAGATGGATGGCTGCACTAGAGCTAAGGTTTAATCAATAGGTCTTTTTAATTTGCCATCGATCCACGTTAAAAGCTACTGCGGCTGTTGCTGTGTGTGTGTTTGTGCGTGCGTGCACCCGCGAGCTGCAAAGTTTGTGTATACACGTGCACGGGCCGACACATTGTGTACGTGTTTTTTGTGTGAACACATGATGTACTCGAATGCGGATTGGAGTGTGTGTTTGTGGGTGTTCTGGTTGTGCGGCAGAGGCAGAGATGGCCACTGCGCTTCGGTTTATTGACATTCTAGCCCATTATTTAATTATTTAATTCCCAGACAGATACTAATGGAGCCGGCTAATAGATTGCGGTTGCCTTTCTCTTCCTTCCAAGACCCCGAATATACGCATAAAATGGAATTAGGCTCGACTCGGGCCACTGTAGGAAAGCATTCACAGTGCGACGCCGAGCCTCTCCCTCGAGACCGGACGCTCCTATAGGCACATCAACAGCTAGGAACGCACTTAGCAGCACTGCCAGTCACTGAGGCATGTCGTCTGCAATTATGTGCGCAGAAATCATAGGCAGCTATCCCAATAGTGTCTTCCCTCTGGCTTTGTTTGTACGGTTCTGGCCTTGCTATTGGTCCTCAAGGAGATTCAGTTCGACGAAGGTCTCCCCACTCAGCGATAAGGGGATGAAATGGCACTGAGGGGAGCTAATGAGGCTCAGTGGGGGAGGTTAAGCAGCAAATTCCACATTGTGTGTGTGTGTGTGTGCGTGTGTGTGTGTGTGTCAGAGCAAAGGGAACGTCAAGGCTGTGTTGCTTTATCTGCTGCGTGCTGAACACACACACACTAAAACACAAAGACATATATTGACAACCTTCTCAATACCGGTTTGTTTGTTTTTTTGATGAGAGTTAATTCTGCTCGGGTTGAAACAAACCTAGCCGACACCCGACTGACCGTCCCTCCCCTCTCTTTCTCGTTTGGCCAGGTGACCGCGTTCGTCAGACCGAGAACCGTGCGACCCGCTGCAAGGTTGAACGCCTGCAGGTGCTGATGCAGCAGAAGCGCCTGCGCAGGAAGGCCAGGAGGGACCAGCGCTCCCCTTACCAGTGGCTGCCCAACCGGAAGGCCGGGCGCAGCAACAGCAACAGCAGCAGGTCCAGCGAGGGCTCCCTTGACCTGGACTTTGACGACTCGGTGTGGAAGGCCGACTTGAAGTCCGAGTTCGTCATGGCCTGAGGCCGAAGCGTCTGATCCCACGCGCCGCGGGACGGATTCGACGATGCGCGCAAAGCATCGCTCGAGGATTTACTTATGAGATATATTTGGAGGGAGTGGATCGGCAGGAGGGGGACACAGAACTGCACATATAGAGGGAATCAAAGTTGTCCTCGTGGCTCCCTCCTGGCAGACTTTATTCCCGCCCCGTCCCTTCACAGTTGACCGTGTGAAAAACAGCATCAACTGCAAGAGAACTTTCCTTTGACGCTTGGATTTGGACGGGCAACAACCGGACTCAACAGTGTACAAGACTTTTTAACGGTGCGATTACAGAGACGACACCTGAACTTTGAGCATAGCAGAATTCAGTGGGTGGTGGTGGTGGTGGTATTTTCTTTTCTAAGATTTGTTTTTTTTAAGCGCACTCTGGACAGCAATGAAGAGATCCACACTGGACTTATTAACAGGACAGGAGCACCAGAGGCCTCAGTGTTTCCTATTCACAAGAATGGCAGAACTGCCGAACAATGGATTATTCCAACGGGCATTCTTATCGATCTCAGAACTCACCAACCAGAGTCTAGTTTTGACCTGTTACGGGGTGGTTAAACCTTTTTCTTTTCTTTTTTTTTTCATTTTGAAACATATTATTATATTTTATAAACAAAAACAAATATGTAGCATTGTTCACAAAGCATTCAGGTTTTCATATAAAAGTTCAAAGTAGTTGTTGATTTGCACATTTTCTTGATTTATAACAGCTGGTCAAAGTGTGCAAGGACGAGGAGGTGGGGCCTGAAATCGAATAAAAAAAATTAAAAAAAATGAATATGGAAGTATTGATATCAACCTCAGTGACATAGGGTATCGATAGGAATGATTAATGAGTAAACAAAATTAATTAATATTAACAGAAAGTGCTTTAGAGGATTTTAAAATCTTTAAAATGTATATGGAAAAAAAATCTATTTTTTATTTCTCTTCCTATCTGCTGTTTTCAAAAAACAACAAATACGTCCATTCAATCACTCGTTCATTAGCTCGTTCATGAATTATACTGTAGTCGTCCAGCCACAGCAAATGATACGGAAAGTCAAATTTCATCCAGCCCACCTCATGTCTTACAGACCTGAATGGACTTGAGGGTTTGCATTAGTTTGTGTACATAAATGTGACAATTGGCAAAGGTTTATGAGGGTGTGTGTACGTTTGACTTAAGTGTAAATTGATTTAGAAAACCCCATGTTTATGTCTGAGCTGTCTTCTCTCAAATAACCCCCGTAGTTTCTCAGAAATCATGAAGATCAGCTGCAGTGAATGCATGGGTCCCGACTTAACATCCCGACAGGATAAAACATCAAATTTCGAAGTTCCTTTACCACAAGTCCTCATAGTAATGGCTATTTTTTTATTGGCAAAAAGGGGGAGAAGAAGTGGGATCTGTATCCAGCATCATTATCTAGTGCCTCCACCAGTACATCCGTTGACATATCAGGTTAGGCCTTTCACAGTTTTGCTGCTACACATGGGGACTTGGAAAAAATAAGAAAAAAAAACGCGAAAGGGGGAAAAAGTGACTTTTTTCTTTGCATGCAGAAGTGATAATTACACTGATCTTTTTTCTATTGATGGAAGAAGAAAAAAAAGAAACTGGTGCTGTGGGAATGAAGGTCAACAACATGCATGAATTTGTGAAGAAAATTAACAATGCTGCTTTTGTTGGTTAGGTTTTTTTTTTGTCATTTTTGATTTCCTCAATGTTAGAACAACGGTGTCCTGCTAAAAGTATTACGACGCAAAAAAACCAAAACAGATGAAGTTAAGTGTGGACTCGCGTCTTGCTCAGCACTGAACATTCCTGTTGTGTGTCAATGAAGATGATGATGAGCAAAGACAGTCTCTCTCCACTCCCCCCCCCCCGAGCGCTTGTTTCACCCCCACCGTGACTCTCTAGGACCCAGACAGCCCTACAAACTGTTAAGCCACCAACCCTCCCCCCTCCCTCCCTCTCTCCCCCCAGCCCGAACGCCAACCGAGGCTCGCGTGGATGTACTCTGGCAGGGAACTAACAGACCGGGGCGGATTTTGCAGTTCTGTCCCGTCAAACCCGAGAGACGCATCCGGTCTGTCTCTTCATCCGTCTGTCTGTCTGACCGATCGACCACCCTACCACAATTGCACTCCCAGAGATTGCAGTGAGAGATTACCCTTTTTGGTGAACCTCATCTTTTTTTTTAAGTGGCCTTACCTTTCACTAAAAAAATGAGACACTTGGGGACAATGGGGGCGGGAATGTTTTTTTTTCGTTTCGTTGTTTTATTTTGGTTTTTAAAACTTTCTGTGTGCATCGTTGTCGGACTTGTTGTCATCCAGGCGCCATTTTTGTCACTGAGGACACTGGGCATCTGTCGTTTAGTGCTTTTAGCTGGTGGAGTCTCTATTATGTCAAGGCTTCTGTGCCTTAAAAATGTTGCCCTTGCTGTGTCAGTGTCAGATTTAAGCTTGTTTTCATTGGTTGATACGCAGGACTGCAGTATTCGCAGCCACGAGAGTCGTAGATTTTTAGGGGCGAAGCTTGTTCGAGTGAATCGACTACTACTCAAAAAGTTGGTGTTGATCCTCAAACACTGCCTTCGTCCCATTTCGTCATTGTGTTGCCATGCTTGTTGGTCTCTGTTGTCCGAAACCTCACGTCCCTCTTAACTCAGTCCTCCCACCAACAAGCTGCAAAAGGCTACAAATCTGTGTAACGTATGTTAACTGGGGAAGTTCACACCGCAGTACGTAGATGGCAAGAAACAGCCCTTATTAAGAAATGTCCTCTGAGGACTCCAGACTACACGCACTTCCTGTTTCCTTGGATACAACATTATTAACGGACAATTTATCCCCTTGCCCCTCCCAAATTTTTATTTAATTTTGTTTTGTATATGTATGAACTATACTCTGTGTGTGCCTCACTTCTGTGTGAAACTCAAAAAGATGAAACGAAACAAAAAAGATGACAAAAGCATTACAGAGAGGATAAAAAAAACAGTATGTTGGTGGAATTCTGATCACGTCATTTAAGTTGCCTGTTCTTTCTTGTAGCCAACTATTGAAAATAACAGGATTCAAGAATACAATTTACAATGTTCTAGCTCTAGACCGGTGTAGCACATGTGTGACTGTATTAATTTATGAAACCAAAATGGTAACTGTGAATTATGTATTTCTTTGTGCATTTTTTTTTAAAAGCGGGGGAGACGGACATAGCAGCAGCTGATGCTGGTGTCCGGAAAAAAACTTTTTTTTTTTTTTTGGTGGAATATAACGGGAACAAAACATGTTTCCAATTTAAAAAAAAAAAAAGGAGGAAAAAATGAAAAAAATAAGATAAAAAATGAGAAAAAAATGAAAAAATATATGAATATATTTTTTTCCTTAAGCAATACATTTCAGTGTGACTTGTGATAGAACATTTTCTTTTTTTTAGGTAATAAATAAATAAAAAACAAAATGAGTACGTCAGGTTGTCTCCGTGAGTGTTCATTACTAGCCCATTCAATAACATTGAGTGAAAGCTGCTATTCAGTCTAATATTTCATGTGAGAATATATTTCATGAGGGAACATGATATGAGTGGCATATGAAAAACCAGAGACGCATTGAATTGCATTGGTGAAATATTGCCTTACTCTATATCAAAAGCTAATGTAATTGATGATTGGACTGAACCATCTCGGCTGCCTGAGGGGTGGACAGGACCTACACATGGATTATTATGAGCCTGCTGGGTAGAGGCCCAGGGGGTCTGGGGAAAAGACAAAGGAAAGTCAAAGAGCTCACACAATATTGAGTCCAATTAAATATATTTTGGTACATTTTTTTCCTACATAATACATCTGCACAGAATACTGAAGTACAGGTGCAGGTTTTCGGCAGTTTAGACATTTGCTTTAACCTGCAAAATGTGACGGGAAAGATGCAGGGACCATGGGTTTGTGTGTGTGGAAGGAGGTTGAAAGGGAGCTGGCGGGGGGGGCAGTTCAGTGAGTGCAGCTCAAGATGAGACAGAATATGGAAGTGGAGTGACAGATTGCTAAAGGAGAGAGAGAGAGAGAGAGAGAGAGCTGTGCCTCATGTGAAGCCCCCGCTTCCTGACACATGTACTTACAGCAAAAGGTAGTTTTTGAAGCGCCACTTGTAGCTCCCCGCTTTTGTAGCCGGCGAGGCTGAGAACAGGGCTCGACTCGGAGCATCCAAGAAATAGCTGAGAGAGAGGATTGAACATGAAAGAGCGCAGCTACTGTATGTCAAAATGCACTGCTCGGGCAGGGCGCCAATAACAGGGCGCGCACACCGTGAGAAGCTGCAACGCAGCCGGACGACAGACCGCTGCATCTGCACTTCCACATAGATGGACATGTTACACGTCTATTTGTTGCAAGAAAAAAGACCTGTTCAAATTGCTGCAAATTCCACATTGAAAAGCTATGTGTTCCTCGTGTTGTTTACACCTCTATTCTGATAACGGCCAAAGGACTAGAAACGTGTCCCTTGGCCTCCCTTCCTCTTTCTACAGAGATGGTTCTGGTAATGAAAGCCTCCTACACAGTGGCCTTCTGCACATAAGCGAGCACGCCTCCTCCATGTCAGTGGCCTGTGGTGAACCCGGGACCGACAAAAGGTTTGATAAGGGAAGCCAGATGAAAGGGGGATTATCGATGAGAGCCCATTGATTAGCTCACCAACAGCCAATAGTCATGCATTTCCCTGAAACCACACGCTAAATACGGAGCAAAGCTATTTCATCTGTTTTCCATGCTGGTGAGTCAAACCCAAGCTCTCTGAAGTTAACATCTGTCACTTTGTTATTGAACCTGGTGTAATGTTGGGTGGCAGCTTCTGGCCACAGTCACCACGTTTATTTTCAACACTAAAAGCTTTTTTTTTGCCATTGAGCTACACACAAGCACCTCTGGAGTGGAATCTCAACACAGATATGGATGAAATGTGAAGGTTAGACGTGAACAACCTAAAGAGGCAAACGCAGATTGGGAACTAGAAAGAACCAGACTTAAAATATTTGCATAATGCAGAAGAGGACGGTGCTCATTTAATTCTCCCACAGAAAAAGGGTTTTGAACGCTTGATGGGAACTCGAACACATCTTGAGATGCAACTCTCAACCAGCTAAGAGAGTTTCACATGCTCAGCACCGATCGGGCAGCTGTGCTAGCGGAGAGTGTAGCGTTAGCCAGAGCTAGCGTAATGTCAGTAAATTGTCAATATTTTACACCGGAAAATCTATCAAACTAGGTGATTAAAGAGAGTTCTGTGGCATTCATTATCTGTATGTATTTGTTCAGGTTTTACAAAGGGTTTAACCTTCTGTTTTTAACACACTGGTACCGGATTGGTTCTCAGCATCAGCCGATACGCAGGCTCAGGTATTGGAATTGACATCGGGAAGGAAAAAAATAGTATCGGAGCATCTCCAGTAAGGACGACAGTGAGACTTAGCCACAGAGCTTCGTACCAAGGTTATTGTTGTAACCACCAACAACAACCAACAAGGAAAAAAGATGAACAGAGCTTTGAGTTGGGAGGTTTTATCCGTTACATAAACTACGTAATGAAGGAACCTGTACAACAGTGTGACCTATTCAACTTGTTAATCGGATCAATTCAGTGTTAGAATTCATCTTTTCACGGAATTTGTGGATGATAAGAAAATTATAAAATATCGAAAGCCTTAATTTTTACATGTGATTTTTTCTTTATTGAACTTTTCCCTTAATTTAAAACAATTTAAAAACAAAAAGTCGTGAACAGAGAAAGAAACAAACTGTTAATGCTGCCTTGGGTTTCTGCTTCATTTGTCAGTTAGGCGAGACTCAAACAAAACAAACCACAAGTGAGAATGTTGACATATATTTACAGTGAATATTGCAGGTGCACCGAACAGACGGCTGTCATACCGATTCTGTTCTTTTTTTGTTTTGACTGTTTGCTGGAACAGCTTCACATGTTACTGGATACAACATGAGCAAGAAGTGCAGCTGATAAATTGTCATGGCTTTCCAGTCATACTGCAACTTATCAAGGGCCTCTTCTGAGAAGTCCCTGCCTATTTCTGACTCCAGCCGTCTCAGCCTCCACACGTATCTGCTGCTTTCTGCAAGCTTGCCGTCTGTGGATGTAACTGCCTTTAGAGACAGAGAAGAACAGAGAGAGAGAGAGAGAGAGAGAGAGAGAGAGGGAGAGGGAGAGAGGGAGAGAGAGAGGCTCAGCTGCCACCGCAAACTGAAACCCTGTGGCTCTGGGATCGAGAGGAGTTCCGCAGAGTTGGGGTTTCACACGTCGTTGTGTGATCTAAGATAAGTCACGCTCAGCTGTATCCTTCCTACACTTAAAAATACTCACACACA